ATATATATATATATATATATATATATATATATATATATATATATATATATATATATATATATATATATATTTATTCAATTATGATGTAACGTTCCTGTTTTATTTAATTTTATTTTAATTTTAATTAATTTTAGGCGGCGGTTATATGCAAGCCCATTTTTTTATTAGTTCAAAACCACATAAATGAGTTTATTAGTTCAAGCCCGTAAATTAATCTAATTTTATACATCAAGACCAAAGATGACAAATATACCCTTATCCACAAATAATACTCAAATACAAATAAATCTTATTTTTAATTTGTTCAAGACCAAAAAAAAAAAATAAAAAAAATATCACGACTGCCAAATATTAATCTATGCTAAATATGGATGAATGAACATTAATCTATGCTTATGTTGGGTTGCAATGATTTGGCCGATTTTGGAAAAAAATTGAGATTGAAATTGGTTTTTTTTATTTTTTTTCGTTGGTTTCCCAAATCAGTTTATCCAGACCGATTTTGTACATGAAAATCGGTGTCATAATGCCGATTTTTGTTAACCAAATCGGCGACACAACGTCGACTTTACAAGTCAAAATCGGCGTTCTAATGTCGATTATTGAGTACAAAATCGGTTTTCGAATACCGATATTTTTTGAATTTTTTTTTAAATAATACATTATATATTTGGTTAATTGATATTTTTTAAATATTTGAAACGAAAATATTTATCGTCATTCGGTGGCGTCTACCACTCCTTTAACCCAATCGAGTAGAGCTTTTCGTATCTCAAATATTTATTCGTTAGATAATTCATTTGAATAATCCTCCATCAATCCGCTAGGTTGATGCACGAAAGTATGAGAAAACGGTCTTAAAAAAATACAGATAATAAAATCGGTATTTAAAAACCGAATTTTGTAGTACAAGTCGGCATGACAATACCGATAATACAAAAATAAACCGGTGTTGTCATGCCGATTTTACTACAAAAATCGGTTTTTAAGTACCGATTTTTATTAAAATAATCGGAATGTGGTTACCGACTTTAGTAACAAAAATCGGTATTTGTAGACCGATTTTTGGTATCGTCGAATTTTTTTCCCAACAAAAAAAAACGACCCAAAAGCAAAAGTAAACGGTTAAAACATATTTCATTGTGTTCTCCACCCTCGTAAACCACCATATCATTATTTTCTGGTTCCATCGTGAATATTTGGTATGTATTTGATAATTTTGATGTGTAGGATTTCTTGGTGGGTTTGTGAAGAAGAAAGAGAAGAAGAGTTTTAAGTCGTGAAATAAGGAAGAAGGGTTTCTGGATTTATGTATTTTATTTGGTCTTGCACAAAGGAAATGATTTTTATTTTTATTTTTTAATGTTTTGTGTTTTTTATTTGATTTTAAATTTCATTAACGTTAAATTAATATTTTTATATTGGAGGTCTTGAACTAATAAAAAAATGGACTTTGCATATAACCGCCGCCCTTAATTTCATTTTCACAGAGCCTCGAAAATATCTTCAGTTTGTTGCGAATTCTGCCTTACATTTGTGTGTGGCCAAAGTAATCTATTTCAAGAATATTAGTATATGACGACTTTACCCTCCCCAATTTCGTGTTGTTCCAAGATAATATCGGATTTTACAAGCGTACCCCTCAAAACCTCCTTCAAATTGGAGGAAAGGAGAGGGCAAAAATGTCAATTACATCCTATATAGTGCACATGTTCAGTTGCTGCTGCCTCACTTTTTTCTGAAAAGCGGAAAATAAAGATCCGAGCGAAGCAGAGGAGCCCCTCGTCTATCCACAATCTCTCTCTCTCTCTCTCTCTCTCTGTATCAAATCGTTTTCTCTCTCTACAAATCGAATTTAGGGTTTTTCCTGCCCGTGACCGAGTCGACTCAGCCATGATTTCCGATTCGATCCCTAACGCCTCAATCGCCATGGCCTCATCTAACCCCAAAGATTTGGCGAAGAAGAAAAAGGTATCGCCTTTTAAGCTCGTTAATTTACCTTTGATTAATAATTGCGTGCATTGTTCTGCATGTGTTTCTGTAACCGCCTTTGTTTTTTGTTTCAATTAAATTTATTTTTTTACAATTTAATTCAGGGAGAAATCATGTTTCATTGAACGAATTTTGTGATTTTTCTCTGATAATGTATGTACCGGGCTTTAATTTAATTGTTAAATTTTTATCTTTTTCTCTTGAGTTACGTTTTCTAATTAGAATTTTGAATTGTTTTTTTGAAATTTAGGGTAACCGTTCGGCGAAATTGAAGCAGAGCAAACTCGATGCTCGCCGGGAACAGTGGCTTTCTCAAGGTTTTTCCAAAGATCTATGCTTGCATATGTGTTTTAATAATATTTATTAAAAAAAAAAATTGGTTCTTGGTTTTAATTTTTTCTCAGTTTTGTATTGAATATTACCTTTCCCATGACTTGTTTACTGTTAACAGAATTTAAACCCTTGTTTATCTAACTAGAGAAAGTCGTTTACTCGGTTTTTTTTTTTTTATTTTTTTTTTTTTAACCATTGATTAATTGTTTATATTTAATGATGCTATGTTAATCCCTCCAGCGAAAAATAAAGGGTGGGTGTGAAGAGGAAGTGAACTGTGGAGGGGGAGGGGGTACGCGAGGAATGCACTCGGATAACAAGAGAGGCATGCCTATCGAGAAGCTGGAGATAAAGCCGAAAGTTGGAAGTAAGATATACAAAGATGTATCATCCGTAATGCATCTGTACAGCGATTCCGATTCATCTCCGTCAAACAGTCCCACGAGCCAAAGGAGTATTAGCAATTATTCCGGTCTCAGTTTCACCGACAGTAGCAGAGGAAGTAGCAGTAGCGGACGAAGCAGTAGCAGCAGTAGAAGCAATGGGTTCTTCTCGATTGCTGCGAATGATAATAGCAACGATAGTTGCTTCGATGATTGGGAAGCCATGGCTGATGCCATGGATGCGATTGAACGCAAGAATCAAGAACACAGTCGTAACTTGCAGAATGTTAACTCAAAGGCAGAGTTGATGGAGAAATCTCCGGTTAATTGTGGGGCTTGGAGAGTGGATGATGCTTTTAGGCCTAGTAGCTTGCCCGATTTGTCGAAGCAGTATGGTTTTCCGTTGAATACGGAGCTCCGTTTTGGGTGGGCGTGTAAGAATGTGGGGCCTGTTCCGACGTCTTGCCCCATATGCTGTGAGGATTTGGATTGTACAGACACGAGCTTTCTACCTTGTTTGTGTGGATTTATGTTGTGCCTTTTCTGTCACAAGAGGATTCTCGAGGAAGATGGAAGATGTCCCGGCTGTAGAAAACAGTACGATGAGGTAAATGTGGACGAGGGCAATTTTGGCATTTCGATTGGCTCGTTTTCGTAGAATGATTGTCGATGTTTCTTGGGTCTCTCGTCTGTGTAGGTATGTGCTGCGTTTGTGTGTGTGGTGTTACTGTTGGAATGTTTTTTTTACGGCATTAGATATATTAGTATAGACGTTTTGATTTTGGACCAATGGGGAATAAATAAATCAGTTCTCTTATGGTGATATGTTTTATATGATGAGGAGACCTTTTTCTTTTATGTGAATAAATAAGATGATAAAAGCAATGGTGAATCTATATATATAAACTCTTCTTTGATGATTTATCTTTTTTATGTTCAAGTTCTCGTGCATTGTATTTCGTAGGCCTTCGTTTAATGAAGCTAGTTTTCCATTTGATAGCTTCGTTTGAAAGCTCGATATTGCCCAAGGGTTCGTCTATTTTTCCAACGGTTTGGTTGATTGTGGATCTGCTTCAATATATATATTCTGTATGATTAGTGATTACATCTCTTCTATCAAATGACTCGTTTTAACTTACGGATGCTTGTAGTCATGCTCGACTGCTGTGAGGGTTTGGAACATTTATATTTGTGTATCGAGAAATATTTGACGGACCCCTAAACATCACATTAAAAACAAATAAAGTCGAAATCAGCGTCATAGGCGTCTTTATTTATCTTTCAAATTAAACATCTCGACCGTTGGTGATCGAGGATCAAGAAATCGTGACCGTATAAACAAATATTTTAATTTGGTTAGGCCGTCATTTCGACCAAATTTTTCTTTTGAAAATTGAATGAAGTGCTAGATTTTTTTACCAATAGATTCTCAAGTATACTCATCATCACTCAAAATATTTTCAAAACTTTCATTAATTCATAAACTAACTAAATAAAAAATTAAATAGAGAGAGAGAGAGAGAGAGAGAGCAATTAAATAGGTTGGAGATAATTTATTGTGTGCATATAGTTCATAGAAAATTGGTGAAAAATTAGATACAAGTGTATTAATATTAGTAGGGTAGAAACGGCTATTGAGATGCTACATCCAGTGAAAAATATTGGATGATTTTTAACCAGGTGAAATAACTTCTCACTAAACACATGCATAAATGAGTTTGTGTATGATGATGTCTACATCAACGGTTAATAATAACTCTGTGTATTTTATCGGGTATAACATCAAATAAACCGGGTAGAAACAATGAGAAGAGAAATCATTCAACTGGTTTGATCCAACGGTCAAGTAATCTTAGCCCTAAAGAAAAGACCCGTCCGACCCGACCCGTTGGTGAAAATAACCATTGCAAATGGTCAACAAATCCTGTCCCTTGATTTTCCAAATCACATGATCTCCAGTATCAATTTCTTTTCAGAAAAAAATAAAAATAAAATAAATAATAAATCCCGCCAGTTTTAACCGTGATGAGTTCATAGTTTAGAAAAAAAAAATTGACGGCCCGATTCATTGGTCATTGACTACGGGCCGGTTCCGAGTCCGACCCGGATCCGTAACATTTTACCCAATTCAGTCGTGCAGAAGCTGAACGCGAAATTATAGAGCAGACCTCGCCCTAATAAACCCATCTATCTCCTCTCTCTCAGATTTTACTTCGAATCCTCGATGGTTCTGAAACGATTTCAAAAACCCGCAACAGGTAAATTCTCTAAAGTTATTCGATCCCCTTTCTATTGGTTGTTGTTATCGGAGTATGTATTTCAGATTCTTGAGGAATTTTATTGCCTGCAAACTGTTCGACAAAACGCCCCACAGAGATCAACATTGATAAATAGTTCCTTAAGCATATTTTACCTGTGGCTACTTCGACATCATCTCTCAGTTGTGCTGTTAGCTATAAAGTAATCGCCTTTTTTCAATTTCAAGATTCTCCCCTCATCACTATCTCCCACATTATGCACAATGGGGAAGTTTGTAGCGCGAACAATAGCGTAAATTAACTCTACAAGACTTCCGTTTTTCAGGGCTGGCAGCTTTGAAGGCATTCGATGCGGATAAATACCTGAAGAAAGTCGGGCTAGGCAAAGAGGACCACCATTTCTGGAAGCAAGTGGGCAAAGCCCTGCTATGCACATACACCCTATTCGGTGCAGCGTGGTTGTACAACGAGACTTCACCGCTCGGTTGGTGGACGTTGAAGCCGAGGCCTAAAGAAGAGAAAGAGCTCGCCCACCTTTACGAGCACCGCAAATTTCCATACCCGGGCGACGCCGAGGCTATGGAGGACTTCATTATTAAGGGTGGTATGATCGGTACCACAATCGGGCCGAAAGGGATTATCGAAACTGAGGGAGATACTTACAATTTTCAGAAAGAGCTGCAGGACAAGAAGTTTGACCAAGAGGCGATGAAGCTGTGGATGAGGATGCGGAATGAGGTAATATCCGAGCTTCAAGAGAAAGGGTTTGATATTGAATAGGTGTTCGACTGTTCGTGTTGTAAGTACACTGTGGAATTCGATCTTGCATCAAACCTTTTCTTTTATGGGATTTTAAATGTCTTGGGTGTTTTGGTGTGTGTGTAATAAATCCATACGTAATGTTTTTTTGGAGTTTCGATTGTATCTGGTGTAGATTGACGCCTTCGTTGAACCTTCCAGCGCAGAGAAATAAGTTTCCTCTTCTAGCTTTCTTGATTAATTTTTTTTCTTCGGGTAAGTAACTATTGTCAAGGGATGTCGATTTTTCTCGAACATTTTTGCGTGGAGATGGTTAATCGGTGATTTCGATTTTTCTTAGATTGGATCATCTCTAGAGTCTGGATAATGAGGAAAACATTTCATATCTTACACATAATAATATCTGGTTTCTTCCATATTAAAGTTCATTTGCCGACCCATTCAATACTCGATTCGAGATCCTTCGTTAAAAGATTGTTTGAGCTCGGTTTGTTAAACACAACGAACTAAATTTATACACATATTTGCGTCCAATAAGCTATGAAACTCAACTCGAGCTCGATTAGAAACAAATGATAATATGTAGTACAAAAAATCAAGCTACTCAAGTTTTATACATAATTAATTTAGGGATAAATAGCTTTTAACCCTTTGTGGTTACAAGCTTTTGCAGCTGAGCCTGATCGGCATGATCCCCTTGCACTCGTAATATCAGCACATAACCCCCTTGAAGTTTGACACACGCAGTTAAGTTAGACGGAAAAAGAGGTCATATACTGATATTACAAGCACAAAGAATTCATCTGCAAAAGCTTGTAACCAGAGGTGTTGAAGTGCTATTTACCCTTAAATTTAAATTTAACCCCTTTCCAAAAAGTCCATACAAGAAGAAGTTTCCAAGACATTTCTTGATGACTTCCATTTTCTTACAATACCAACCAAGTCAACCAAGACTCTTTAAGTCAATGACAACTATTCACCCACTGAAAAACAAAAGGTAGGAATAATGTCCATCATCCTTATATCTATATAATTCTACACACACACACACACTCCACAAAGCTAAAAAAAATCAAGAAAGAAAACTATATATATACATAAATTAAAAAAAAAAAAAAAAAAAAGGGAAGCGAAGAAGATGATGGGGGGAAGGCTTGGGGAAAACATAGGAGTGGGAGAAGAGACAATTGAAAAAGCGTGTAAGGTGTCGATGAAAGCGCATAGTAAGCCAAATTATTATATCCATGACAAGAATCGTGTCACGTTTTTTGCGTTTCCTGGATCTTGGTCTGTAAATGATTGGTGCAGCAGAAAACCCTTTGGGGAAATTAAGGTTGACGTGTCCCTGTTTCCTTCCATCAAGAGTATTGGTAATGAAGAAATTGGTTTGGTTAATCAAGCTTTCTTCACCAGATTTCAACATCTCTTGACCAGATCATCACTCTCAGCTGAGGTACTTTATTATATCTTTTTTTTTTTTTAATATTTAATCTTGAAATCTTGCTCAATTTAGTTTTTGGATTATATTTTTTATTTTTATTTTTTATTTCATGTGATTAATACAAATAAAGAGTTCAAGATTTGTTCTCCATATAATTAAGGGCCATGTTTTTTAGGATAAAGTTTTCTATAAATTAATAAAGTTGGGACTAGTAAAATTCTAATAATTTAATATGTTTTCCCGAATCGGGACTGGGAGAAATTATTATTTAAGTGAGGTTATTAATTTATCGAATACTAATTTATCGAGGTTCTGTTGTATTAGTATTTGAGTAGTACTTAAATAGATGATCAAGACGAAAAAGCTTGCTTTTAGACATCATACCTTTGATTAGGAGTGGAAAACAGGGGGGACTCGGATTAGAATTAGTGCTTTCGAGAAAATTAATTTTTCGTTTAGGGATTTTTTTGGCATAAGTTGGATATTGAAAACAAAAAAGAATCGTTCAAACTCGAACATTTTCTAACGAGATCGGCAAAATTTGAATATCATTTCGATTTTCACCCTTGAGTTACTAGTATAAACTATAAAGTACATTTTAGTCGAATATAGATTCATTTACAAAACTAACCTTATGAATTTATTTTTGATTGTAAAATAAAAAAAGTTAGAATTTTCAGAATGATTTTTTGGGAACTAAAATTCGATCGAAAATCAGAATTTCATACATAATGTTAATCCCGGTCCCCATCCAACGTTTAAAAAAAAAATCGAGAAATTCAAATGATTTTTTTTCTTCCAAAAGTTATTCCAGAGTCGGAAATTTTCGAATCGAAATCAACGGAATCTATATCTCTCTCTCTCTCTATATATATATATATATATATATATATATATATATATATACATAACACGAAACTCGATTTTCAGGTTGAGAAAGCTATCTCAGACAAGAAGCAAATAGTCTTCACAGGGCACTCATCGGGTGGTCCGACAGCCATTCTTGCAACAATTTGGTTCTTCGAAAAATACACAAGACATAATTACTACAATACCCCTCCTTTCTGTCTCACTTTCGGTTCCCCTCTTATTGGTAACCACATTTTCTCGCACGCTCTCAGACGGGAAAACTGGGCCCGTTATTTTATCCATTTCATAATGAAACACGACATCGTACCTCGTATTACGCTAACCCCGTTTACACAAATAGAACAAGAGCTCCAACAAGTACTCGAGTTTCTCGATCCGAAATCCACACATAATCTGCATGGTTCTTCCATTTTATCGAGTTTCTTGTTTTCTGTAATGAGAAATGCCCTGTCTGTTTCGAGTTATGCGGCGTCTTATCTAAAAGGGAATACGAATTTGTTGCTGGAAACTGTGGCGAGTATCGTGGAGCTTAGTCCTTATCGCCCTTTTGGGATCTTTGTTTTCTGCACGGGGAGGGGTAAAATCGTCGTTCTTGATAATCCGGACGCGGTGCTTCAGCTGATGTTTTTTTGTCTTCAGTTTAGCCCCGAGGAAGAAAACTCGGAGTTTGTTCATGGGATGTTTAGGGAACATTTGTCGTACGAAAGTGAGTTGCACGAGAGCTTAAATTACATGCAAGATGTTACGTATTTGGTGAATCTTGTGGATGTACCGTTGTCTGCTCATTCCACCTCCACTTATGCAGCAGCCCTCAATGATCTTGGCTTGGTCTCTCTCTCTCTCTCTCTCTCTCTCTCTCTCTCTATGCGTGTGTCTCTCTTTTTCTCTCTTTTTCTC